TCATTCAAAATCTATTTCTTTTGAGGTTTAAAAAACTATTATCTTATTAATCCAAATAAAGAATCATTTATACAGGTTATATCTAATAAAACTTATAATAGATTATTTCAGATAGAGCTCTGTTTAAGTCTAATAATAATCTAATAACTAAGCAGGGAGTAAGAAGGACAGGAGTATGTCTTTGTTTACCATTGTGAGTCATCTCTGAAAGGATTAGAAAAAAACTCCCAATATCTATTTAAAAATATAAAATTATTTTTAAAAATTTAGGGTCTCTTCAGTTTTATTTTACTGCAACTGACTTTATTCAGGCCAGTTTGTTCTCTCTTAAGTTACTTCATCACATTCCTACTGAATCTCTAGTTCAACCATTTCAATATATTTTTCTCACTGTCTTCAAAGAGATCTTTCTGAAACCTAAGTCTATGTTACTCTACTATTTAAACTAGTCAGGGATTCAGAAAATATTCAAATCTTTAACTTAACCCTCTGGCACCTTCCAAGCTTTTCCACCTTATTCTGTGCCACTTCTTCTCAGGCAGGCTTTCTATCAGCTTTACCAAACTACTTGTAGTACCTGACAGTTCTCACAGTCACTATTATTTCTGTCTCTTGATATTGAACTTAATACCCACTCATTCTTCAAATCTCAAGTGTCACTTTCTTTGGGAAGGCTTAACAGATTCCTCATGTTATTTAGATGTCCTTCCTCTATAATCCTACAGTGTTCTACCACACGGCATTATCACTGATTTGCTTATCTGCCTCTTGTACCAGACAGTGAACTTCTTGTTTGTACAGGCAAGTGGGAGTGAGCGTGTGTGCATTTAACCTGAATACCCACCCCGCCCCCTGGGACAATGTGGAGCATGGGGAATGCTGAATGATGTTCATGAAGGGTTAATGTGCTAATACTGGGATACCAAGTGCTAGGAACGTTGAGGGGGACATGAGCTGGAAGCCAAGGGCCTGTTGTTCTTTTAGGTACTTAGCAAGTAGGAATTTCATTCAGTGCACTTCCCTGATAAAGTCACACTTTTCTACTTTGTCTTAATATTGTTGTGCAAATGTTTTACTTCCTACATCATACCCCGAAGAACTGGGAACATGTCTCGTCCATGAGCCCTCTACTACTTCTTACGTATATACTAGGTCTTAAAACATGTTAAATTAACAAGTTTCAATATTTTCAAAATAATTTTGATTTATAGAAACTCACACCTACCTTGTCTCTGATGAGAAAAGCCTCTGGAAGAATAAATATGTATATAAAGAACAAAATATTTGTGAAGCTCAAAATTAAACTAAAAATCATAGTGTTATAATTCCCTAGAGAGAAGAACATAGTAAGAATCAGTGATGGACAAACATATTCAAAGAAAATTAAAAGAAAGGCTGCCTAGCCCCTCAATGTGCTGACATGTAAATATCTTCTCTACCTCAATTTTCATATACTTACACAGGGAAACTGCTATACTCCCAGTAGAAAATAATGCTTTAGCATAACACAAAATTCATGGTTTTATGTTTAGATAAAAAACAAAAGACTTGGTCATGGCCTCAATTTACTTTCTTTTTTCCCATGCTTACTTTATCTACATTTTTAGCAATGTTTATTATAGCAAAATTACCTGAAATTTTTAATAAATCAATTTTTAAGATCTTTAAAATTTTTTATGATTCTAACATTTTAGTTATTGCTCTTTTTTTTTTTTTTTTTTTGAGACAATGTCTCACTATGTTGCCCTCGGTAGAGTGCTGTGGTATCA